CCTTCCTTCCTTCCTTCCTTCCTTCCTTCCTTCCTTCCTTCCTTCCTTCCTTCCTTCCTTCCTTCCTCCTTTTTAGAAAGCAAGCAAGCTTGTCATTTTAAAATCCAAGGAAATTCAGATGATTTACTGCAACCCATGAAAAACATGAATTGGGCTGGTGTAAACTAGATCTAGTTGTATTTCATTTTCTTATCTCCTGCCTTTAATTTCCTTGGTATGCTCCTTTCTTGTGTTCTGCGTAACATGGGTTACCCTGAAAGGGAATAGTACAGTAAGTATACATGTCTGTATGCCCCTTCTGTTTCTAGTGCTGTCTAAACTTACTCCTCTCTCCTTTAAATGCAGATATCTCAGAACCTGGCTATTTGAAAGAAACTCTTGTTCGTATACACCACGTTCCTGATGATTCAGAAATTCTCCAGTTCAAGGAAAGCCCACTCATGAAAAAGCTATGGGCAAGTCTTCCAGATGTATCTTTGTCCAGTTTGACTCTGGAGTCTTCAGATACTGATTTTCTAGATGTAACTATGCCATCATTCTGTAAGGTACGGTCTCTATTTTTATTTTGTTACTGCTTTAACATTGTCTCCTGATCAGTCCCACAGAACAGCCTTGTCATGATGTGATCAGGTTAATCTTTCTCAGGCTCATGATGCCATTTTCTCTTTTTTTAGTAAGTACAACCTTTTCTATTTCTTGTGCCTTTAATCTGTGGGCTCCTTGTGGGGGATTATGGGTGAAACTGAAGGAAATGTCTGGGGTGCCTTAAGGCCCCTTAACTGCATTGCTTGTTCTCCATCAGCAGCTTTGTACCTGTTTTTTTAAAAAAAAGATGTAAATAGCAGTTTTGAAATCTAAAATACTGTATTGTTAAATCCAGCTTCCATGCCTACAAGATGCATATTTATATAATTAGAATAAAATTGGATGGAAAGTGGGATGACAGCTTAATCAGCCTAATTTCCTAGTTGTATCAAATCATTATATTTATAAATTTAATCATTATCATTTTATTTTATCTGTGAGCTGCCTAGAGTCACTTACTTTATATAGTATAGGCTGCATATAAATTTGATTTGTAAATAAATAAATAAAGCCCCTGCTTATCCTGTGGGCTGGGTGCTTAAAAGAGAACAACAGTTTATAGGAGACCCTGATAAATGCATAGTAGAATTTTTACATTTACTGCAGGAGTGTGTAGCTTTTTTAGGCTCAAAAATAGGCCTTTTTGTGTGTGAGGAGTCCAATCCTTCTGATACTAAAACTACACCCAGTCTTTGCTATAATCAATTTGTACTGATTCATGTTAATCCCACTGTCATTCTCAACAACCACTGGATTCCTGGTGCTCACCCTCAAGCAAATATATGCAGGATCATAACTTTCAACAGACTTTGACTGCCCATTTCCTTTTTAAAAAAAATTTCTGACTACTAGTTATATGATTTGTAGAGATATTCTTTCCAAAACAGAAGAGCAGTTGACAAATATAACTTATGTGTCTTGAGCGTAACTAAAAGGAAATGTGAGTGCCTGCTTCAAATGCAGAAAAGATGTTGGAATCCTTGGGGCTCTGGTTTTTTGCTTGCAGACGTTTCATTACCCAACTAGGTAAGCGCACTGAAGATGTTACCTAGTTGGGTAATGAAATATCTGCAAGCAAAAAACTAGCTCAGAGAGCCCCAAGGACTCCACAGTTCAACCCTGAGCTACAGAGATTCTCTCCTACTAGAAAAGATGTTGCATGGAAGAACCTTGTTCCCTCCTGCTCCAGATTGCAAGACATGAAAAAGGGGACTCAAGTTACAGAAAGGCAAATTCTGGTTGAATGTCTGAAAAAAATGTCCTAAAAATAAGAGCACTTGTATATTGGAGAATGAAACTTATGACCCAGAAAGATGATGGGCTCCCCTTTGCTGGATCATGTGTTCAAGCAGGGGCTGGGCAGCCCCTGCTTGTTGGGGAGGCTTTAAATAGGATTCTTGTGCTAAGCAGAAGTTGGGCTAGGTGGATTCAGTGGCTCCTTCAGTTCTAGGATTCTGAAAATCTCAAAGCATGTGTGATCAGTTTCAGTGATACAGAATGAGCCTTGTATAAAAGCCTATCTGAAAGCATGTTTCTCCTTTCATCTATGGTAGAAGAAAGCTAGAGCCTTGCGCAAACCCATCTGGAAAAATGAAATGTCCAGAGCTGACAGGCAGAAGGATCGTGTGTACCTTCAGAGACTGAAAGATCGTCACGATTTCCTGAAAAATCCTCGCTTTTTCTCACCTAATTCACTCCATGGAGGCAGGTCCTTGATTCTGCCTCCAAAGAAGGTGGAGCGGATGGTAGCAGGAAGAAAAACATTTGTGATGGAAAGGTAGTTCTTTATAAATACATACAAATGGTGCTTTCTGTTCTTACACCAGTGATATTTAACATCTATATGCTTTCCCCCCCCCGCCCCCAAATATTCCAAGACATTCTATACCTAAATGTTTATGTTGCTCAGGGAATACAGCCTGCAGGTTGCAAAAAGGGAAGTGGGAACTTGACACAAAGTTGTTGCTTTTGATAGCAACTGTACAGGGCAAGGTAGAGTACATCCTGCCTTCAAAGCCCAGCTTATATAAACTCACTGTCACACGCAATGGTGGGAGCATCACCAGTTGGCACATAGTCTCTGCTTTTTTTTTTAGATTTTTTTTTTATCCCGCCTTTATTATTTTTATAAATAACTCAAGGTGGCAAGCATACCTAATTCTCCTTCCTCCTTCTATTTTCCCCACAACAACCCTGTGATGTGAGTAGGGCTGAGAGAGAGAGACTGGCCCAAAGTCACCCAGCCTTTTAGAAATGAATCGCTTCAAGACGTTAAGCATAGAGGAGTTGTGTAGCTTTTCAGGGTTCAGATTCCAAAACATTCCCAAAGATGTCAAAACCACAACTTTCTTCAGCCAGGCTGCCACTGAAATCTTGGAGTTGCTGCCTCCCATATCTGGAGGTCATTGGGGGTGGGCTAAGTCTGCACCAAAAGATAATCTCTTCCATTTCAGCTAATATAAAAAAGGATTCAACTTCATTAATGTGGCCCCATTCTATGGTTAGATTAATATTGATGCAGGTTCATTAAAGAAAACAGTGACATTCAAGAGCGAGGAAGCATGGCTTTTCTCAGTCCACACCCATCTTCTGAGTGGCACGGGAGAGCAGGACCAAGAGAAAAGTGGGTGGAACCAGGGCCAGAAGTATGTATGACAGGGATTTCAATGTAATGAATTAAATCACATTACTCAACTCATGTGGCTTAACAATTTTCTCCTTCTGTCATGTTAAACATTACCATCTGCATACAGTTTTTGGAGATGGTCTTGGGTCAAATTCAGGCTCTGGGGACAATGCAGTGAAGCACCCCCATGCTCTTCAGATAGGTGTTCAGCACAACCAGTGTTGGCTAACATGCATCGGTCCTGAGAATTCTCTTGAGTCTCTTTGTAACCATCCTTTTTTTCACTTCAGCAATTCCCAGTCAGTGCCCATCTTTCTATCAAACCCGCCTGCAGTGGTGTTTTCGGATTACAAAGTTGGCCAGGTTTATGAGGTAAGAGCCACCCGGGAGAACTTCTGATATCCACGTTGCCTGCTACTTGCTTTCTTTCAGCACATCTTTCCTTCAGTTCTTAATAAAGTGGTACTTTTCATTTAATAAATCAAACCCACTGACCCTTCTTTAAGAGCTCCTTCAGGGACAGATATATTGTAACGTCACAGTCAACCTTTTTGCAATCAAGGGCCCCACTAATTGTTTTGCAAGTTTGAGGGCCGTGGAGAACGTGTGCAGTAATAACAGTGCCAAAAGTGTTCAGACTCTTTTGGGCAGGAGAGTAGTTGTGCGATTTTAAGGATAAAATTGGCTGTGCTTGGCCTTGCAGAGACTTGACATATCCATTCCCACTTAATTTTGCATCCCCTTCATTCCCCCATTCTTAAAAATCAGCCATTTTGGTGCTGAAAGTTGGCATTGTGCTTTGGGGGTGCTCTCTGGGTCACAAACGGGCTGGGGGGCTGTACTGGCTCTGATCTTTCTTTCTTCGTAGATGACTATAGAGTTACAAAACATGACCTCAACATCCCAACGCATCAGAATTATTCCTCCAGCTACCTCTGCCTTTTCGATTGTTATCGGTGAGTTCTTGCCAGGTGCAGTGATGTCAATTTCTAATGAGATGGTTTTGGCAAAAAGTGGTTTCCATGGATTGCTTCCAGAGGGGAAAAACTTGCTTCGAGGGACACCAGAGAGGCCTTCAGCAGGTGGCAGCACCTGACTATTCTTGGCTGATCTTGAAAAAGCTAAGCAAGGTCAGATCTGGTTAGTTCGTGGATGGGAAAACACCAAGGAATCTCAGGATGATAGACTAGAGCAGACAGTTAAAAGAACCGAAGAATGCAATGCCAAATCACTTAACGCTGTTGCCAGGAAAACGATATGGCTGCACTTGTGGCGTCCTCAAGAGTCAAACTCAACTCAAGGGAAGCTTGTTAGCCTGAAGGGACGGGGGAACTCTTGCTCTTTTAGAACATTGGTTTGTCATTTAGACCAACCTGGAAATGAGTTTGAGAGAAGGTCTGTATTCTTTTCGAAGAGGTATTTCCCTCTCTTTTTCCTGGGTGCATTTCTCTCCCCTTCTTTGTTATCCTGCAGAAGTTGGAAGATGGGCAGTAGCCCTAGGTCAGGAGAGGGAAACGGGCACTGCAACGATTCTAGGAATGTTACTTTATTATTGTAGGGTTTCTTAACAGAATCTTGAAAGATTGTCCAAGTTTCTCTATGTCCCATCCTGTCCTAAACAAGATCAAGGCAGGTTTATTTTGAGTTTCTTTCTCATGCTTCCTTCTGTTTTGGGGCTGTGTAATCATTCCTCAGTGGCTCACTCATGCCTCCCCCAACGACACCTCTAAAATCCTTTACACCACGGAAGGGAACTGGTTCCTCCATCTGGTAAAGTGCCTTACACATTGACCTGGTTCACACATAGTCCTAAGCCTTTTTTTTTTTTTTTAATCTGCGCTCAGTCATTACTGACCCTGCAGTGACTGCTTGGACGAGTCCTTGCAGTTTTCAAGGCAAGTGTTTCGGAAGTGGTTTGCCAGAGCCTCCTTCCTAGAGCAGAGCCCAGCTGGCGCGCGCAGGAGGCGGGGTTTCCGTTGCTTCGCGCCCTTTTCGGGCGAGGGCGGTTTTCGCGTTTTACTGGCAACTGCTCCTGACTCCTTTTTGCTAGGCGCCGCCAGCATTTTTCCTCCCACCGGAGTGAGAGTACCCATTTATCTACTCATGTGAGTTTTCAACCTGTTGGGTTGACAGGAACTGG